GCCAGCTGTCCTTAAATGTTCAGACAATCAGCTAATGGTGGTGAAAGGGGACCAGGACCCTGGCATCTCCTGACAGGTCCTCTTAAAGCTGAACTCTGGGCACAAACACTTTCCTTTAAATGAATATCTCAGTAGCCAAAAAGGATATAAACCCACTTTGTCAATCATCCAGACTAAATGACCTCTACTTGTAAATTACTGAGCACTGTGTCAAATGCTTTGGCAAAATCTGGCTACACCACGTCCACGGGTCTTCCTCTATCCAAATAACAGCTCGCCTCTTCACTGAAGGTCAACAGCTTGGTCTGGTAAGAGTGATCTTTCATAAATCAGAGTACTTGGTGTCAGAGTACTCGGTGTCATTCTTGTCTCCAACCTATCCTTCCAGCCCCAAGTCCAATCTTTAACAAACTCGTGCAGACTCCACCTCCGCAACATCGCCAAAATCCGCACGTTCCTAACCCCAGAAACCACTAAACAGCTCATCCACTCCCTCATCATATCACGACTGGACTACTGCAACTCCCTCCTCACTGGCCTGCCTCGCCGCTGGCTATCCCCGCTTCAGTCCATCCTGAATACGGCTGCCAGACTCATTCACCTTTCCAACCGCTCCATTTCCGCCACCCCCCTCTGCCAATCCCTCCACTGGCTTCCGATTGCGCAACGGATCAAATTCAAAATCCTAACACTGACGTACAAAGCCATCCACCATACTGCCCCGAACTACATCACCGACCTAATATCCAAGTACCGCCCAGCACGCACACTCCGCTCCTCACAAGACCTCCTTCTCTCTAGTTCCCTGGTCTCCTCCTCCCATGCCCGCCTCCAGGACTTCTCCAGGGTGTCACCCATCCTCTGGAACTCCCTGCCCCAACCCATCAGATTATCACTTACTCTCCTCTCCTTTAGGCACACCCTGAAAACCCATCTCTTCAGGGAAGCCTACCCCACCCCCTGCTAACTTGCTGACCTCCTCCACTCTTCCTACCACCCCATCCCCCACAGCTATCTCCTCCTGTGCTACCATCCCCTCCCTCCTAGATTGTAAGCTCGAAAGAGCAGGGCCCTCAATCCCCTCATGTTTTGCATTGTATTGGTATTGTTCTGTCACATGTTCTGTCCCCCTTTGTAATGTACAGCGCTGAGCGAACTATTGGCGCTTTATAAATACTGTATAATAATAATAATAATAATAAATCCATGCTGGTTACTACTGCTGACATTTTATTTTTGTTATCAAAGTCTTGGATATAGTCCCTTATGATCCCCTCTAGTAATTTACATACTATTGATGTTAGGCTGTAGTTTCCAGGTATATATCTGGGACCTTCTTTGGATTGGTACCTCTTTGGCTTTTTGCCAATCAGCTGGTACCATTCCAGGTAGTTAGCTTTCCTTGAAGAGTGGGAATAACAGTCTGATTATAACATGGCTAAGTTCTTTGAGGACTCTCGGGTGTAAGCCATCTGGTCCTGGTGATTTATTCACGTTACGGGCTGATTCACAGCAGATGCAGACCGGTGCATTTTCATTCTGCTTCAAAAATGTATGGATACCGTTCAGCATGGATTCCGATGGTCGTAGTTCACACCAGTGCAGTCAATAAATGAATCTTTTCTGTATGGAATGCATCTGGGAAGTGGCAAAGTGCATCAAAAATGCTCCAGAATGCACGTGCCCTCAATTGAGAGGGGAAAATATGCATCAGAATGCATCAGGACAGTTTTTTTCTCATCAATATGCATTTTTCCACTAGAATTTAACCACCCAGGCTGAACTTTATTTCTTTTATATTTGTTACCCATTGGAATACACTGAATAATGTGTTATATATTGCTGCACACACCAGAGTGAGAGCCATAATTCTAGGCCCAATATTTCCAGTTACCTCTAAACCAGTGGTTCTCAACCTTAATGCCGCAACCCTTTAATACAGTTCCTCATGTTGTGGTGACCCCCAACCAGGGGCGGAGTGACAACTCATGGGGCCCCTGCGCAATAGGGGATCATGGGGCCCCTGTGTCCTTGCCCAAACTCAAAAAAGCCTATGAAAAAGGTACCAGGGGCATCTCACGGGGCCCCCTACTGACCCTGGGCCCTCAGGCAGTGCCCGAGTTTCAAAATGGATAGTCCGTCCCTGCCCCCAACCATAAAATTATTTACCCAGTAATTATAATTCATGAAGTGTTGTTTTACCTCCAATACTGCTGCTTTTAACACAGTAGCTGCTTTCAACACAGTAGCTGCTTTTAACAGAGTAGCTGCTTTCAACACAGCAGCTGCTTTCTGCACAGTAGCTGCTTTCAACACAGTATCTGCTTTCAACACAGTAGCTGCTTTTAACACAGTAGCTGCTTTCAACACAGCAGCTGCTTTCTGCACAGTAGCTGCTTTCTGCACAGTAGCTGCTCTTTACACATCGGAAATATGTTTCCCCATGCACACTAGCTTGCAAAAAACTCTCCTAGCGGCATTTTTTGCCTCTAGAAGCAAATAATATCCTATGTGTTCATGCACACTTTGTAGTCTAGAGGTGGTTTTACCTCCAGAGGATTTACCCCCCTTCCTGACCAGGCCATTTTTTTTGCATTACTTTAACTGACAATTGCGCAGTCATGCAACGCTGTACATGAAATTTATGTCCTTTCCCCCCACAAATAGAGCTTTCTTTCGGTGGTATTTGATCGCCTGTGTATTTTTTATTTTCTGTGCTATAAACAAAAAAAGATCAACAATTTTGATAAAAACAAAGCAATATTTTTGACTTTTTGCTATAAAATATGTCCAATAAGAAAATTAAAAAAAAAAATCTAATTTTGTAATAAATTTAGGGCAAAATGTATTCCGCGACATGTCTTTGCTAAATAAAATCCCAATTCGTGTAAATTAATTAAATCTCAGTGTGAACAGTAAAAGAAACTACAAATGCCACTAAATCGCGATAGATGCAAGAAATTAAAAATAAATTAAATCATGTGTAAATAATACAAATCCCTTGCTGCCACTATACAATAATCAAAATTATAAAATAAATAAACCCACAGTGAATTTGTGAAAAAGTGGCACACACACTTCACAGTTCCATACTTGTCATAAAAAATAAAAATTGAAATATAAACATGCTATCCCAAACATGTTATCATATATACTCAAAATATCTTCCAGTGACAACTAAAAAAAAAAAAAAAATTGCAGTGATAAAAGATCAAGTGTTCAAATCAACACAATATAGTGAGAAAAGAAAATCCAGTGATAAAAAACAAAGTCCAGTGATAAAAAAATGTCCAGTGATAAAAAAAATGTCCAGTGATGAAAATCAGACAGTGTTAAAAAAAAACACACAGTATATATGATAACATGTTTGGGATAGCATGTTTATATTTCAATTTTAATTTTTTATGATAAGTGTGGCACTGAAGTGTGTGTGCGCCACTTTTTCACAAATTCACTTTGCGTAAATTAATTGGTTTATGCGACAATTCTAGCATCTACAAATGGCGGTATAGATAATGGGATTTTTTTAATTTTTATACTAGTAATGGCCTACACACAGGTCTCTCCCCTATCAGCTTTGCACGGCGATCGCCAGGGAATCTCTAGCCAGGACCCAGTGATTGACATGCCTAGCCGCCAATGGCAGCGCGGGTAGGGCGGCACGCTCTCTCTCCAGAAATGCGAATCACGTATATATACGTGATTTTGCGCAGCCATGCCGCCCTGTAGCAGTACTTCTACTATAGGGCGGCGAGAATCATTTCAGCTCAGCATTTAGGAGCAAAAAAAAAAAACCCCTCTGATTTGCAGTTTTGAACTGATTTTCTGGCAGATAAAAAGGCAAAACGTTCCTAAGCACTGCTAATCGTTGCTAAGAGCTGATAAGCAGCGGGTTGCTAAGGAGCGGGCGGCTGCCACCGTTGACTCGAGATTTGTGGGATTCCCTGCTGACAGTTGAATGTAAACAAAAGAATGCCGATATTCAAACATTTTTTTTTAAAAATTGCATGGGCATCCCCTGGGGGTCCTCCCCCAACCCTTACCAGGCTCTTCGGATCTGGTACGGATTTTAAGGGGAACTCCACGCCAAAATTCTAGAAAAAAGAAAACAGCATAGGGTCCCCCCCAAAATCCATACCAGATCCCTAGGTATGGGCCACATGCCCTCAACAGGGTGCCTAGATATATTTTGTGAAAGCAGAGACCCTGAAGAATAAAGTAGCGGTTGTTCAAATTTTTCATGTCACATGATATAAGTGCAACAGTTTATCAAGCACAACGTTTTAGTAAAAATACACTAAAGTTAATTTAAGGGCACAAAATGCAATATTACTCAAATTTCTGGTAAAGTATAAAAGATGAGGTTGCACCGAATAAATTGATACTTTACATGTGCACAAAAAAATGCAAAAAAAGTCTCTGGCAGTGAAAAGGTTGTGTGAATATTTAGCGATCCTGCCATGAAGGTGCTTATTGGGGCCCTTCCTGGTATGGGGCCCATGTAGATAGGAAGTGGCTGATAGAGGCTGGAGGTGAGGAAAGGATGAAACAAAAGTGAAAGCAGGAATTCATTAGCCGCTTGCCCTATAGCAAAAATACTGCTACAGGGCGGCAGGGCTGTGCAAAATCATGTATATATAAATATATATATATATATATATACCAGGGGCAGACTGACAACTCATGGAGCCCCCGTGCAATAGGGGATTATGGGGCCCCTGTGTCCTTGCCCAAACTCAAAAAAGCCTATGAAAAAGGTACCAGGGGCATCTCATGGGGCCCCCTACTGACCCCGGGCTCTCGGGCAGTGCCCGAGTTTCCAAATGGTCAGTCCGCCCCTGATATATATATATCAGGGGTGTGCACTACCCGCACCGCCATTGGCGGCTTCAGCTGTCGATCACCGGGTCCCAGCTGGTGATTCCCCACCGGCATCCGGCGATTGCTGAGTATCACTGACAGGGGAGAGGTCTGTATGTAATCAATGTAGATCTCTCCCCTGTCAGCTCTTGCACACTGCTTTGTATGGCTCTGCATAGCAGTATCCAAACAAAGCAGTGTGCTTGCAGTGTAAAGCGCAGCACACAGTTAAGCCTTTGATCACCTCAGATGTTAACCCCTTCCTGCCCAGTGCCATTAGTACAGTGTCACTGCTTTTTATTAGCACTGATCACTGTATTGGTGTCACTGGGGATGTCAGTGACATCAAGTCGAAATATAGTAATTTGGTGCTGCGCTAATAATTAATCCTTTGAAAAAAAAATAAACAGAAAATTTCACAGAAAGAGCATATAAATCTCAAAATAAATATAGAATAGAATGCACATGAAAATTATATAAATCCGTGGAATATTTCAATACTGTCCATTGTGGTATGTGGTAGGGTGTTAGCGGCGGTATTTAGAGAGTGACATTCTGAGCGCGGGAGGGTCATATAGATATATTAGTGACACCAAGTCAGTTCCCCTCCCAGTGTCAGAATGCCGCCGCAGTCCCACTATAAGTCGCTGATCGCCGCCATTACTAGTATAAAAATAAAAAAAATCCCAGTATCTATCCCGCCATTTGTAAACGCTATAACTTTCATGTAAACCAATTAATTTACACGTATTGGGATTCTTTTTTCGCAAAGACATGGAGCAGAATACATTTTGGCCTAAATTTATGACGAAATTAGATTTTTTAAATTTTTTACTGAATATGTTTTATAGCAAACATTAAAAAATATTGTTTTTTTTTCTCAAAATTGTTGGTCTTTTTTTGTTTATAGCATAGAAAATAGAAAACAAACGGGTGTTTAAAGAAAGCTCTATTTGTGGGGAAAAAGGATGTAAATTTAATTTGGGTGCGGCATTGCATGACCGTGCAATGGAAAGTTAAAGTAACCCAGCGCCGTAACGCAAAAATAAAAAATGGCCTGGTCAGGAAGGGGGGGGGGGGGGGGGAGGGGGGATCCTCTGGAGGGAGAGGGGTTAAAGAAAGACAATGACTTCTGATTCCCAGTGCCACTCAGCCTCATATCAACTTCAGGTAAGAGAACAAAATCCAGGGGAGGCTCCTATTTACACAATGGAGAATCTTCAATGGATAACTCGGAGTTAATGGTTCATCGAGCAACAAAGACAAAGTTCAGAACTAGTAGCCGGATTGCAGCGAGAAAAGTGAGACTGAACCTCCCTATTTACACCTTGTGTCTGAAATGAGTGATGTCCGACTCCAGATCCTCCCCTACGAAGAGGATGGATCAATCAGAGACCCTCCATGAATCTCTGACCTGTCACAACAACGTAGGGGCGGATTGACAACTCATGGGGCCCCAGGGCAATAGGGGATCATGGAGCCCCTGTGTCCTTGCCCATACTCAAAGCACACCCAAAAAAGCCTATAAAAGGTACCAGGGGCATTTCATGGGGCCCCCTACTGACCCCGGGCCCTCGGGCAGTGCCCGAGTGCTCAAATGGTCACACCGCCCCTGCAACAACATCACCATTTATCAGAAAAGCTCCACCTTTTACCATTAAAAAGCCGTTCTTGAGCTGCAGTCAGTGACTTGGCCTAGGCTGAGATGATGTCATCCTCTGCTGCAGGCAGGAGGAAGCATTTCCTCAGTCTCCCCTACCCCAGTGATCAGACTGCAACAATGTAACTTTGTAGTAGGCAGAAAGAGGCATTTCCTCAGTCTCCCCTCCCCCAGTGATCAGATTGTACATTGTAACTTTGTAACAAGTCACAAGGTGAGGGGGTACAGCAGGAATGTGGTGGTAGTGATTGGCTGGAATGGGAACAAATAGGGAACATAACAACAGATCTTACCCAAGCCCAACCACTCTATGCACCACATGTAGGCTGGAGACCGGAGCACTGGCTAGGGCGTTCACTCCTCACAGGATATATCCACCGTACAGGTAGCTGGCAACTCGGAAAGCTTCCAAATGTAAATCTTTATGGGTGACATGGATACAGGATACACAAAACTGACGCGTTTCATCTTCACAAAGCCTTCCTCATAGCAGCTGCTATAAAGAAGGCTTTGTGAAGCCGAATCGTATCCGCTTTGTGTCTCCTGTATCCATGCAACCAATAAGTTAGAAAACGCTAAAAAATGCTGAAAAACCTGTGTTCTTACCGTGACTTTACACAGCTAACGCTACCAGCGTTATTAAAACATCCAGTGTGCATGGAGACTTATTGGTTGCATGCATACAGGATACACAACTGACGCGTTTCGGCTTCACAAAGCCTTCCTCATAGCAGCTGCTATAAAGAAGGCTTTGTGGAACCAAAACGCGTCAGTTTGTGTCTCCTGTATCCATGCAACCAATAAGTCTCCATTCACACTGGATGTTTTAATAACGCTGGTAACGTTAACTGTGTAAAAGTCATGGTAAGAAAGCGAGTTTTTCAGCACTTTTTAGCGTTCTTGCATTAGCGCTTAGCTGCGTTTTGCCATGTTTTCCTGCATTTGAGTTTTTTTAGTGTTTTTTGGCTTTTTTTTACCCCCCCCCCCCCCCCCCCAATTTTTTTACACTCAAAAAAAGTCCAAAAACACTGGTTTGCCGTGTTTTTCAGTTTTAGAGTGTTTTCACAGCTAAAAAACTCCTCTAGAAACCCACTAGTTCCAGTTTTGTTCCAGCCAAAAAACACCAATTCAGTCGATGTGTGCAAGGGCATATAGGATAACATGCTGGGGAGTTTACTGGCTGTAGCAAAAAAAATGCCAAAAGCCAAAACCAGCCGCTGTAAAAACGTCCCGTGTGCACGAGGGCTATAGATTTACATTAGGAAGCTTTCCGAGGTGCCGGCTACCTGTATAGTGGAAGCAATTGGGGAAACTTCTGTTCACTTCCTGTCCCAGAGATGCAGCAAGAGGTTAAACGAAAAACACTTCTCACTATCCAAATCAAAAATAATTTTTTTTGTCTATGACTTTGTCTATGATTTTTTGTCTATAGAGATTTACATTAGGAAACTTTCCGAGGTGCTGGCTACCTGTATAGTGGATGCAATTGTGGAAACTTCTGTTCACTTCCTGTCCCAGAGATGCAGCAAGAGGTTAAAGGAAAAACACTTCTCTTCACTATCCAAACCAAAAAAAAAATTTTTTGTCTATGATTTTTTGTCTATAGATTTACATTAGGAAGCTTTCCGTGGTGCTGGCTACCTGTATAGTGGATGCAATTGGGGAAACTTCTGTTCACTTCCTGTCCCAGAGATGCAGCAAGAGGTTAAAGGAAAAACACTTCTCCTCGCTATCCAAAGCTAAAAAAAGTTTTGTCTATGATAGCCCTAATACCTTAGCTGAGAAAATCCCTCCTCCCCTCCTGAAGACTCCTGGGATGTATGACATCACTTTGGCCTAGGCCAGAAACCAGGAAGTGAAATGTAAAAAAAAAAAAAGTTTAAATACAAAATGTGATTCCTAAAGTTAGCAGAATAAGGAATAAAAATGGTCAATGTTGGCTGAGGAAGCAGATTTGAGATTTCAAGTGATCTTCATGTACAAAGCACAGGTTCACTTTATTATGTCATTCATTAAACAGTACACTGTGCAGCAATCACCTGCACCGTGCGACTCAGCCATTGCTCCGCCTCCCTTCCCCGTCCTGTACACCGTGTCCTGACTTCACTCCTGCTGGAGGGATGGCTGGCAGACTTCCTCATACATAGGGTGAAGTGTATGGGGTTATATCGGGACATGTGCACAGCATAAATCATGTCTGAACGTCACCCTGCGATCTCTCTGCTGGGGACAATGATGATCTGTGTCTGCGTCCTATACCGCGGCGTTGTCTGCTCCGGGGCAGGAGGAGAGGCGATGTTCACAGGGTGTATATACCCAATCACCATCTCATATCAGATTCAACGAGTCAAAGTCATTTCCAAAGTCATTTTCAGTTGTTATACATCTGCAGCTTTCATTAGCTAGTGATCCTGCCATGAAGGTTCTTTGCTCAGGCACTTCCTGTTATACGGTGACAACATAATGTCTACATCTTGCAATTGTGCATGCGTTGTCACCCCAGCCTCTGACAGGGAGTGCCAGTGGCTGTGCCAACACACATTAAACAGGCATGGTCTGTTTGGACAGTATGGTCACCTGCTGACTTGGCACCATCCACAGACAGCTTAACTCTTCAATAGGAAGGTGAATCCAACACAATTCTACTTCAGATAATAGATGTACAGGGCAGGGGTGGACTGACCATTTGGAAACTCGGGCACTGCCCGAGGGCCCGGGGTCAGTAGGGGCCCCATGAGATGCCCCTGGTACCTTTTTCATAGGCTTTTTTGAGTTTGGGCAAGGACACAGGGGCCCCATGATCCCCTATTGCCCGGGGGCCCCATGAGTTGTCAGTCCTCCCCTGGTACAGGGGATGTTTTTCAAGTCTTTTGAAGCGGAAGAAGACATTGGGGATGATTTACTACACCTGGAGAGTGCAAAATTTGGTGCATTTCTGCATGGAAAGCAATCAGCTTCCAGTTTTTTTTTTTTTTTTTCAAAGCTCCATTGAACAAGCTGAAGTTAGAAGCTGATTGGCCGCCATGCACAGCTGCACCAGATTTTTCACTCTCCAGTTTTAGTAAATCAACCCCATTGGCTTTCCTAAGCCCTGTCCCGGCAAAGATCTAACACTGACTGAGGGAACATGGAAGAAACAGGGAGGGTCTACCTAGGAGTGAACTAACTAGCACTAAACAGGGAGGAAAGACAGGTGGGGGGGGGGCAGGGATACCAAATTTCGGACAAAATTTTGTCTCGTTATTTCAAATTGGTTTAAATTGAGTACTATTGTAATTCAGACAATTGAACACATCTGAATCTCTGAATAACAAAACATTGGTCAGAATTTCGATTTGGAACGAAACAACCACACATGTCTAATTACATCCCAGGAATTGTGCCTCCTCCTCCTCCTCGTCCTCCTCATCCTCGTCCTCATCCTCCTCCACACACACCTATAGGCTGGAGAGGTTGACAGAAGTCTGCTAGTTCTACTCAAGGCATACCGCACCAAGAACTTAAAAAAAATTTTTTAAGTCCGCAAACGTGCAACTATAACGAAAAAACCCGTAAGTGTTCACAAAAAAAGTGCAAGTGCAAAACACCACACGAAAAAGTGCACTTAGGGGTGTGCTGTGTCCTACCCCTAAAGGGGCTTGGACCGCTTACCCTGATCCCCCGGGGCACGAAGCTCCTGACGGGGACAAGGTTCCCAATTGGTCCTCCTGGCCAAAAGGCCTGGTGGACCACCGTTCCCTATGCCCAGCCGAAGCCGGACATCCAGTACTAGGCAAGGAGGCTCTCCCGAAGAAGAGCCTCCTAGGGATCAGGGGAGGAAGGAACCGTATGGCCACACATCCTCCCCCTAGACTTCAGGGTAGGCCCGAGGACCCACACCCTCCATCCGTGAAAAAAAAACACACACATAAGGCAAAGAAAAAGTGACAAACGTGGGTAAGTGCATAATAAATAAGAGAAAGAAAAAATAAAAAAGTGGTACCGTGCCGAATTGTGCACAGACCAGGCCCTGAGGCCCGTAGCAAAAATTGCCCTGAACTTAGCCAAAAGGCCTGGTCCTTAGGGCGCTGTGCAAAAAGAGGTG